GCTTCTAGTTTTCTTCTGATTCAACACCTCAACGCAGCCAATTATCAGTTAATAATTTCAGTACGTTGGGATGTTTAAGCGTTACCACGCAATAACAATAATATTTGTCTATTGTCGCTAGGGTCACCTCCCCGGTGGYGTGCATGGTAACAACGGAGTCGCACTTCTTCACTCACCTGGTGTTGTCCACCGAGCGTCTACCGAAAGTAGCGGAAAGCGATCGCACAGCCCCGACATGGCTTCGCGTATCTCCGCGTCTGATTCCTCCCCTTCGAGTTCTCCCGTTAAAAAGTTTGCTAGCGGAATTGAACGAGATGGGAGACCGCATCACAACTTACCGTGGACTCACATCAAGATACAAACCCCGCCGAAAGGTATATGATCACGTGGGTCATTTGACTCGAAAATAGCTTTCATTACTTTGGGAACCAATCAATGTTGAATCAAATTGCTATGCTTAGACGACGTCCACGCTAACGCGTTTTCGTTTGAAAACGCTTAGTACTTTTCGATGCGTTTTAGTCGTGCGCCAAGACTAAAAATATCAAAGCGTTTTTATCAAAAACGCATACATTCGAAAACGCTTCCCTAATAGGGACGGGCGAAAACGCTAGTGTAGACGCAAAGCTTTCAATGCATTTCTGAGGAGATAAAAACATCTCAGAGTAATCACATTTTTCTTTCTTTTTCTTTTGCCAAAGGGTACACCCTCTCAAGTCAAGGCCAATATCAAGAACCTAGCTCTCCTAGGACTCGAGAGACAAGACAGCTACCTCTAACATTACTGGACCAAGTTAGCGATAACTCTCTCCTTGTATCTGTTGAACTCAATGGAGTCGCATATCAAGGAGTTTTATTTGCAAGACCAGGACGTCAGACCACTTCAGCTGAGCAATAGCAATCCTTTGGTTTTCCTGTAGAAGAGGTTTGGTTTTCCTGTAGAAGAGGTTTGGTTTTCCTGTAGAAGAGGTTTGGTTTTCCTGTAGAAGAGGTTTGGTATCTAACTTTTCCTTGAAACACACTTTGCACTCTTTGCTCACTTCTGAAAAAATTCTAATTTTCTCAATTTTTATTTTTCCTAAAACAACTCTTCTATTTATGAGTAATTTTAAAGGACTTTTTCAAATATGTTTTTTATTGCTCAAGAAAAGCCAAATATGTTTTTTATTGCTCAAGAAAAGCCTTGATAATAGTTCCTTTTACCTTGGACATAATGCTTCCCCTTTCAGACCACATGTCATTCCACAGTGTACCATTTATTTGTTTAATGATTGTGCATAGGAAGAGAAATAAATATGGATACATCTCAAAAGATCTTATCCTGAAGGGAATGGCAAGTGGTCTAAAATGGGTGAACCTTATGCTCAAGGTGCCGAAGTCTATTGCAATCTATTAATGTTGAGTTCACAAAACACCCAGATTCCAGATGGAGATTCAGACTGGTTTCTACCACAACATTTTTACCACAAACTGTATGTATTAGCTTTTCCAAGGTTGAGGGGAAAATGAAGTCAAGTTGGTATTGCAGTGTTATTGTGGGACTGTTTTTGGGAAGGGCCATGTTCCAAGATGGCATCTATTTCATTTAAAACAGTTCCACTGAATTGCCAACTCTACCCATTTTTTTTTTTTTTTTTTTCAACCTGGCTTATTTACCCAACTCGTATTTCAATATATGCATGCAGATTTCTGCAAAGCTGAGCTTTATCATCCTTTGACATTCTGAAAATAATCAGACTTTTCTGGACGTACATCTGATATCCACAGTGATTTTATAAATGCTTCGATTTGTTCATGCATTTATTTATGAATAATTAAATTAGTTAATCATATTTTAGTTTACAGATTCCTTAATTGATTAATGAATTCATTGAAATATTGAACTTTAACATTCAAATTCCATAGACGATGGATTCAACTTAGATTGTTTAACTCTTAATTTCTGTTTATATAGTATATCATTTATTGTTATTTACTTCTCTGAAATCTAATACGACTATTTATTTATGACTGTGTAACTTCCAAAGTGAAGAAAGAAAGGAACTTCCAAGTTATAAGAGAAAGAAACTCAAAGAAATGTTCAAAATTTTGTACAAAATTCTCTCAGAAAATCTAATATATTACATAAGTATTGCTACAGTAGTATGGCTTGAATCTTTAGTGGCCTTCAAGCTAATAGTGCAAGGTGTGCAATGATAGGCTTTAGCTCATTGAATTCCATCAAATACTTAACAGTAGTTTATGGGAATTAAAACGTCCTCAAAACAATGGCATGCTATATATATCCAGTTTGATATTGAAAATGAAATAGCCGCTACCCTGCGATAAAATACAAGATAATCCTAGCTAATCCTATTTTCTCTTGGATATATCACAAGTAGGGGCAACTGGAAAAATCTGCAGAGTATGGGCAATTGGCATCTGAATCGCAAAGATAATACTTTTCCTTCAACCTCAGTAGTTGGGATTTTTTCTAACGTGGTTAGTCAAAAATGTTAAAGGTACAGACTGATTAATTTGGATTAAAATATCAGTATGCAGCTTGCAGCTATGAGGTCAGGTTGAAAACTGCTACAGTCACAGAACAAAACCCTGTTGAGTTGACATTTCAAAGTTGTTTCCAGACCTTCAACCTTTTACCTGTGGCTGTAGCAAATGGACAGTAGATTTATTTCCAAAAAAAGCACTAGATAAATAAGTTTTATATTTGCCAGTTATAATCCAAACCTTGCGAAGTATTAAAAAGTTATCGCATATAGCAGAGTTATAAAAGATATCTATGCAATAATTATATTATTATCACTATAAATAACTTGTATCATTACGGCTATTTTATTCTGAAAAAGAATTGCCTTGTTTGTTGAATGTATTATATTCTATGCACTGAAAAACCTTTTATATTTACATAGTGTATCTAATTTTCAAAATCCAATTAACAGTTTTCTTAATTTATTATTACTTATACATTTCAGATAGATCTGTGAATATGCTTCATTGCTTTATATATAGAATTTGGCATGAAGTAAAAGATAACGGTGTTGACTATAACACCCAAGTAGTGATTTACGACCATTTCAAAGATAATYGAGAGAATTAAAAACAATGCAGCCGATGTTGATGTTAGTGTATATATAAGAAATCACATCCTACTGTACTATTTCCGTTTGTTTCCATCAATTGAATATTTGYGATTCTGACTTTCTTTTTGAATGATGGAAGCCCACACCTATACTATGAAGTTCCAATTTCATTCAAGTTAGCCATGCCTGGGCATAGTTCAACCCACATAATATTTCATGGTTCGATAACCTTGGTGTTTTTTAACGAAACAAATAACCAAACGAAGTATCCAATATTCTACTGTACACACCCAGCTAATTAAGTTCATAGATGTTTTAACACCCAAGTCTCAGGTCATCAAGTCTAAATGGCCTCAATTTTGATCAATTTTCTTAACCTCACATGCAGTCTTAAATGATTCTGGGTTGGCTTTGGCATTGCATATATATTGATAGTAAAGAAGGGACAACTAGCTATGTATTTGAATGTTGCACAATGCAAGTCGCAACTGCTTACAAAATTTTTCTTTTACACATGAAACTATTTTGCAGATACAATTTGATTATATTTTTGCAAAGAACCAAGAAATCATAAATAGTGTTGTGAGATRATACACTAAATTGTTTGGTTATAAACAGTATTGTCCAGTACTATATCTAGCTTACAAGTTGAAAATTATTTGCTAAACTTCATGTGCAACTCAGAATATTTTACATGTATCTTACTCAGGCATTAATTGACAGTTATACACTGGATCAGAATATGATGACCCATTTGAATAACTTTGTTCTAAAATGACTAGCATCTCTTACATGTGAAAACATGTTTGTGTTTCCTCGTGAACACGAGACTTGTAAGTCCAAAAGAATATTTTTTCAAATTGGTTGCCATATTTCGATTTGAAGTATACTTAAGGCTTTTGGCAAGCTATGGGTCCACTTAGTTTGGATGTGATGTTTTTCATTCTATATAGTTTTAGAAATAAGAGTATTTTGTACCAGTATGAGTAAGCAATATGAGGTGCTATAATGACTCCTTTTTTCGATTTAATGCAAACTCAGTGGTTGCGAGTTGCCTGTTGAAATTTGGTTTTTACTGCTGCTCGTCAAAAATATRAAAGGTATTGAATGATTATTTTTGATTGACAGAACAGAGAAAACAAATGTCAGCATGCAGCTTGTTAGAGATAGGATAAATACTCAAGAGAATGTCATGTCCTTAATGACATGTAATGGGAAAACATCATGTTCAAACTAAATGCTATATTTTCATACAAATATGCTGCAAAACTATTGAAATCTTTGAGGCAATGACACAATCAAGTTGGCTCTTAAAATCCACACAAACCTGTGAAAAAGTGCAGAGTAGCACTATTGCACTATTTAAGACTRTTAACTTTGAATACTTTTTCATGGGTTTGTGCACACTTATAAAGTAGTGGTACCTTTTATGTAGGTTTATGCTAATTTAACTTTTCTAAATTTAATTTAAARTTATCTCCTAACCTTTTTACTACCTTTACATTTAGCATACTTTTTAATCATTTATTTTAAGTCTTCATATCCATACTGAAGGGCTACAAATTGGATCTAGMTGAAATGTAACTTGAAGTACGAGTATGCATGCCTTTTGATGTGATCTACCTTCAGTGTTCCCTAGTTAACCTTTGTGTTATATTCATGTAGAAATATTATTTCTTTAGTGAAGGTCAAGTTTAAGTTACAGATTGTACACAAATTGTCAAGCCTTTTAATAAAAAAATTGTGTTTATTTACACACGTTTGTTACTTTAAATTGTTCCATGGGAAGAAAGAACAATTTTTCCCAATTTTCAGACCATGCATCATTCTCTAGAGTATCATTTCTTTGTTTAATGGTTGTGCATGAGACACATTTATCCAGTGGCAGATCCAGAACGATTTCACAGGGTATGGCAGTTACCTAGAAACACTGGGGGGGGGGGGGGTACTCCCCTATATTCACTATACGGGTACGTGCCACCAAACAGGGTATAGTTTTCAACGATTCTACTCTGGAACAGGGTATATAAAATTGCGCTTGCTCTGGAACAGGGTATATGAAATCATGCTCTCCCCTCTCTGGAACAGGGTATCCATTTTTGCAATACCAGAACAGGATGTGATTTTCAGTGATCTTGCTCTTAAACAGGGTAYGAATTTCAGCGATTTTACTCTGGAACAGGGTCAGGGTTCAGTGGGCTCAGCGGCACATCCCTACCCTAAACTGGCAAGAGTACCCCGGGGCCTAGAAAGGCATGATATGGTCTTACCTTTTCTTTCCTTTTCTTATTTTTAAACTCYGAAGGGGTTTGGTAAGCCACACAATCCATACTCTGGATTTGCCCTTAAGGTTCARCTCAAACAAAGAATCTTATTTTCAAGAGAGTATGACACATGGTCTGAAATGGGAKAAAACTTACATATGAGGTCAAGAGATCTGTTGAGTTTTGGGATCAATATATACACATATTTCAACTTATATAGGCACATAGTGCTAKAAATATCTTCCCCTTTGAAAGTAGGACTCATGTTTTGACTATAAATATATATAGGAGAAATGACATTTAATATAAAATCAAATATTTTATATGGATTTGTATGGTGAAAATGTTGACTGGGAAGCACTTGCCAAACAGAGAATGTTCCTATAAARATCCTTGTAAAACATTCAATTTTACATTTAATGCTATTTTGTCCTCCTCCCCACTAATTAWTGTCAAGGTGCTCTTTTTATTTCTAGCGTTCATATTGACACAGCTGCTCRGCTTGAGGGTCATGTGACCTGTTGTCCATTTCCAACCACAGTAGAAAGGGTCTGAGAAATCATATTTTATTTGGTATTTTTATTTTGCAAATGAATCCTAAGGTATCTATAGTATTAAAGTCTACAGGCAYTTTCTAGAACTTTACAGAATCCACACTACCTCATAACAAGCCTACCTTCTAACAAGGTGGCCATCCAAGTTGCCGACCTCCAATAACATGCAAATGAATATGATGGACAGACTGGCATCCATGGTAACCATTATTAATGACCACTCGATAGCCACTTTCATCAACTCCCTTTTGGGCAGCAAYTTTTTTGGCAACAAGAAGACAGTGACCCAACAGCTATGTTGATTTAAAAAATTCCAAAAAAAAGGAACTATTTAGTTCAAAACAAAGTTTTGTGCAATGCATCCTTGCATCCTTGCCTGAATGCCGAGGGAATTAGGATAWGTTAACTTGTTGGTGTGCGAAAGAAATGGTAGGATTGCTTGATAGGGAAGTGGCAAAAATGGAGGATATGGCAGTGAAGTCCAGTATTTACCGTGGAGAGGGAGTCAGTTTCTATTAACAGTCACTATAAACCTTAACATATCATTTCTTTCTCCCTCCCTCCCCCTCCAACTGTATATTCTTGTACATATCCCAATAGGGGTTGAACAATGACTGCAAGCATTCAAAAACAAGCCAGTACACTGTTATTCTTCATTGAATTGCCTTCCCCCCATATCCCCCCCTGATATTACTAACCTCTCCATCTGTATTTTCTGCTACTGAAAGACTACGAATAGGCTTCTTAGGAATGACAAGAAAATGAACAGGTGCTTGAGGATTAATGTCTTCAATGGCKATACACTTTAACGATAGAATAACACTCAGTTAGTCCTTATTCGGACAATTTCATGCATTACGTGAAAAGATAAATGAGAATTTTTAAAACAACAACTGAATCATTTTGACGGATAAAAGAAGCTAAAGTTGACTGTTAAAAAGTTGAMACTTGGTCAAAACTACCTTTTCATCTTCGAACAAAAACGTTGCCGGGATTTCGTGACGTATTATTTTTCCAAAGACGGTGTCTCCTCCTGGTTTTATAGGTTCTTTAGCTGCTAGTCGWGCCAGTTCTTCTTCGGAAGCCATTTTTCGCTCGACACTCTTTCGTACCAGTTCGCGTTCGCTTCCTGTCCTATTTACCCTTCTTCTTGGGCTGCCTGTGGAAACTTTACCACAGGAGCCCCACGTAGTCATCATGTACAACCAAGTACCAGTATGCAAGTCTAAGGGTGTGTGCAACCATGTGACTCAAAATCCCTTGAGATATGAATAACAATGAAACAGCTGCCATCTTGGTTGATCTAACAAGAGAAGCTAATGAGTAATGCTTTGTTATCGTCAACAAAGATGGCAGCAATAACGTAACATGCACCTAATCTATTGATAGCAACCTGGGTGTCGTCACTGCTGGTTTATGTCGGGGATAGAATCACCAAATCCAATAGAAAATTCAACGAAATTTGCTCCTAGTGAAACAGTTAACTCTAAAATGGCCTAGTTTTCAGATATAATATGTGTTAATATGCACTACAAAATATTCTGAGCATTTGCTGGCTATTCTACTCCTCTTTATGGATTGATACCGGTTTCAAAACAATTTTCGGTGAAATTGCATTGATTTGACCTCCTCCTCTAACCATGATCCTTTGCGTTTAAACAATAGATTGTTTTGATGTGACATCATAGTGAAATAGGGCAATTAGTATCTGATTAGAATGACCCTGACACCATGACATACCCTTCAAAAACGTTTATTCTAGTACAATGTCATGTAGATAACTATGATACTATTTTAATGTCCGAATGAAAACCATTTTATCCAGTCTTCTAGTTCACTAGCTCTGAAAACYTTAGGTATAGTGAAAGGGGTAGTTTCTTTCAACTCATAGTTAGGATAACACAGACATTTGGGGGAGTGATCCCGCAATGACATGAAATGAAACACTATCAGCCTGGAGGCCATTCCATCTTYCTTCCACCAAGAAGGTGAACATGAATGTGCATGACCTCTTGTCCACCATCTGCTCCATCGTTGATGACAATGCGGTAGCCATTACCAAGGGACAACTTTTCAGCCACCTTCTTGGCAACAATCAAAAGATGTCCAAGCACCTATACCAAATAACAAAAAAATGAATGCAAGATTGAACGAATGAATGAATGAATGAACAGATGAATGTATGAACAGATGCACATATATGTCAAATAATGAACTAATAAATAGATTGTTATATAATTTAATTATTGAAGTAATTATAGCTGACTGACTGATTAAATGAAATAATAATAATGATAAATGATTGACTGAATGAATGAACAGATTAATGACTAAATGGAAAAAAATCAGATTAAGAAACCAACATCAGAGTACGTAAAGATACCAAACAATAAACAAKTTCACGGTTTCGGACGCCATATTGCTTGGGGGGCAAGAAGCGTAGAGGAAAGAGATACGTTTTTCGTTATATTTCCTTTCTGAGGTAAATTTTCGAGACCAATTTTTTTCTGTAGATGGAGAATCCTCAGTTCAATGTTTTGTGACGTTTTTGAGCCGATCATGAGAGGTCATTCTTGTAGAGGCAAGATTTTTTACGGTCAAATTGAACCAGTATGATCGAGTCTTGGTCGCAAAACTCGATAACCCCAAAGCTTCCGTCTCTCTATGAACCAATGTTATGCTGGCTTCATCTGCTCAAAAGCAGGACACAAAACATTGAACGGAGGATTCTCTATCTACAGAAAACAATGGTATATAATGCACCTACTATTGATAAGTTTTTTCCGAGGATTTCTCCCCTCGCCCCTCCCCCTATCYTGTGGCTGGCGCACGATGGCACCAACTGAATACTAGTATTTCTGGCTAAGTAATCAAGCTTCGTGCAGGAGTTACGAGGCACACTCCCCCAACAATTCTCAACCCCTTCTCCGTCACCTCAGGTATAATCTCGAGAATGTGCYAAGAAATATAATCCATCAACACTACTCTCTACCTGCTCATCATCATCATCTGCTTTAGAAAGCTGTGGTATTGGTTTCTTTGGAATAATCAACAGATGTGTTGGGGCTTGTGCGTTGATGTCTTTGATGGCTATGCACTGAGGAATATATCAAACATTATTAGGATATATGGGGATATATTGACAAGAACAAAACAGGAAAGAGAAGGAGTCGTGTTCTGCAAGTTGAACTCAAACCTGATCATCTTCGTGGAGGAACTCGGAAGGGATTTCCTTGCGAATGATTTTAGCGAAAATCGTGTCTCCTTCCGCCATCTTTGGTTTGGAAACCAGACAGAAACCAGACTAGTTCCACTCCTCAAGACCTTAGGAACATCAACAAAATGAATTCCTGGGGGGAGGAGTACGTTCAGAAAAACGAAAACTCCGTCTATTTTCTTTAATAGCAATAAACTTATTAATATACCTTTTCGTTTTTAAAAACTACTTTAATCATTTCTATACATTAGATATATATTTTTTCTAAAAAGAAAAAGAAAACTTTCATATCCAGTTACCTATATATATTATGATGTATGGTGTCTCGTCCTCTCCCCCCTACTTTTTTGAATTAGTCTCATTGGGCGGAAGTGGTACACGCCTTCTTATTTGACAAATGAATGAATGAATGAAAAGTTGGGGTAAACCCGTAGTAAAAATACCCAAAAATTAAAACAYTATTAGCTAATAAACCCCAAAATATTCAATTTGCTTTTAAGTTTCTTTCTATTTTTGATGATATCTTGAATGTATCATCGYGTTGGATGAGTAATCTTTAGGATGATATGTTGTGGTCATCCTGTGGATCKTATGGAGAGAAGGTCGCTTTAGTCTTTGTGACAAAGCGTGGGAGGAGGATAGCGGACTTGTCCGGGATAATTCTCTTATTCTCTCTTATCTTGCAGTTTTTATTTTGTTTCTTTTTCGCTYAGCTTTCATTCCTTTTTTGCCATTTAAAGAACCCAGAGCTTTGTATTTGTCAAAACTGCTGGGAAACTTTGTGGCAAGCGTCGAGTAACTACAACTTTTCATCTTGGCTCAATTTTTGTCCTACTTGGTCTAGTTTWTACTAGACTTTCCAGCTACACTGCTCTAAAATGCCTATCCCAAGTCTAACCAGGAAACAGTCYTCTTTATCAGCGCTTATAGAACGAGAGAGAAGCCTTTCTGGCGCAAGCAGAGTGAGCGAGGCAACTAGAGAAAGCAGTGAACCAGAAGAAGCTCCAACAAATGAAGAAGAACAGGAGCAAATCAAATCCACAGCCTTTACACCGGACGAAGGTGGCGACACAGACATCGAAGGAGGGGATACAGACATCGAAGAAGAGCCTCCAGTTCCTCTAARACCTACCCTTTCCAAACAAAAAACCGTCAGCATYAAGGAAGTTAGAGAAGATGGCTCCCCACAGCTGAGGATGTCACGGAGACTTATGTCTATGAAGCGACGAGGAAAAATCATTCTGCTTAGAGAACTGACAGATGAGTTTGAGTTCAATGCTGAAGATGTTTTGACTGTTCGTGGAGAGGAAGACGATTTTTATGTYTGTAGGGTACTGGAAGATGTGCCACTGAATGCTAAAAGGTTTCGAGTTGCATGGTACAATAGAGTGGGTCCAAATCTATATGAGGTGAGAGTTCTAGGAATTCATTTTCTTACTGTTTTTGAGTTCTTTTGAGTAAAAATAAGAGAGCGTTACGGATCATTGAATAAATTATTTAACATAGGATATGATTTATTATTGCATTAAATGGAGTTGATCATTCATTCATTCATTACTATTATTTTCAATAACACTTTCCTTTTCCCATTTTGTTTTGATTTCAATTTTACAATATTCTGATGGTTTGAAATAAATATTGATTGATTGATTGATTTCAAGACATAAGCATGTCAATATTTTGATTTATTTTTAGCCATCTTTTGATGATGTTTGTGACATGAATTCTGTCATCACTCGAGTGGGCCTGATAGAAAGAATGAATGGCCAAGTTAGTGTCRTCAAGAAGTATATCAAGCAGACCAAAAGGTTGTTAAGAGAAGCYCTTGCTGCAGAAAGAGGACAAGAAKTAGATGAGATAGAAGATATTGATAAAGGTACCGAAATAGGATTTTTAGGCAGAAATTGGCAAATTTTATAGGGAAAAAACAAAATTCCTTAGGAATCTGATTGCTTTATTTGTTATTTAAAGATGAAGGTGAGGAAGAAGAAGATGAAGAAGATGAAGAAGAAGAAGAACCTCCAGCTAAAAGAACCCGTAGCTCAGACCACACACCTATCACAAGAAAAGGAGGGAAAGGTAAAAGAAAGACTGCCACTCCGAAGAAGGCTGTCACCCCAAAGAAACCAAGGACACCCAAGCAGAAGACTCCAAAGAAAAAAGCACCACCAAAGGACAAACCTAGAAGAACTGGTGTTCTTATTCCAAACCCTGAGATTGAGCTCCTTCATGAGGATCCCACATTTGAAACCAGGTAGGCAAACTTTATATGATGCCCAATCAATGGTGGATCCAGAGGAGGAGGGTCCGAAACCTCTTGTCATACCTCAGTGGCGGATCCAGCTATGGGGTGCAGGGGGTGCGCACCCCCCACCCTMCCCTGAGAGAAGCTGACATTTTAAGAATTGYTGCCTTAGTATTAATCTTAAACGATCCTTTGCTCTACACTTTTTTTTAATTTGTAAATGCTATACAAAATACGCTGTATCTTACCGTAAATTATTTCAATTTAATATCACATATTAAAATGCTGCTTGCGTAGAAATAATTCTAGAAACTAGAATTTTCTTGTTTACTGACGCCATCACTCAATATGATGTAATAAGCCAAATAAGCGTACCCACCCCCCCCCCTCAAAAAAATCCTGTATCCGCCCTTGTACCTGAGATTGTTTTATCCTAGAATCTATGTAGTTTTGCCACAGGTTTGAAGTAAATTTTGTATTTTGTTCATAGAAATRTTTTTGCAATTCTTTATTTTTTGGAATATGAAAATTTTTTCTGTAGGCAAGACTGGGGGTTAATGCCTTGCAAGCTTTCCATTCGTGCAACTCTGTTGGGTGACATGAAAATGCTGAAGGACTGTATTGAGAACAYCAAGGAAGTACACACGGTAATTAAATAACTTACCTCAATTAATAGAAGGTTAAGAACCCAGTAAGTTGACCATAGCCCCATGAGTCTCCCTGTAGTTTAGTGGTAGAGTATCCAACCAGTATCTGAAAGGTCACAGGTTCGATTCCTGTTGGATGGATTCTTAATTTTTTTCCTAATTCCCTGWTTAGGAAGCATTCATTTTAAGGACGGGGTGGGCATGAGGAATCCAGGGGAGGGCTATTAAATTTCTACTCAGTTAAAAAGATGGGGTCATCAAATTTTCATACTAGTACATRATAAGGGGAGGGACARGAATTCAACAAATTTCAAGGGGAGGGTCACTTTTTTATGTAGACAGAAGAAAGGGAGGGGGGGTGTCTAAAGATTTTACATTACTGTTTATAGGGATTCTCCGGCCCACCCCCCTTCCAAAAAAATGGATGCTAATATTGCTAATATTACTTCAATAGACCTCCTCGGCTTGGGGTAATGTTTTCCCATTTCAGACCATGTGACATTCCCTTGAGAATAAAATTCTTTGTTTGTGTTGTATCCATATTCAATTGTCTTCTCATGTGTAACTGATTGCAACCATTAAAAAAAGAAAGGATGCTCTAGGGAATGACATGTGGTCTGAAATAGGATAACATTAGGCCCGAGCCAAGGAGGTCTATTTCTCTATCTTTGATTTATTCTAAACTCTAAGCTTGGCTATTATTTTCACTTTATTTTATTTTGCTTGTCGTTATTTAGCCCCACTGGCCTCGCAGTCCAGATGTTGGGATGTGTGCCATTCATTACGCACTTTTAAAYAATAATAAAAAAGCTGTTGATATGCTGGTGGATGACCTCATTCAACCAAAGGAAGGTCGCTGTAAAAAACCAAAAGTCACCCTGGATCACATGGATACAGGATCGTAAGTATTAGTCAGTATTAGTTTCTATGTATTATACTGCAGACAAAAGCCTATGATCGTTATTTGATCTAATGAGGAAAAAAAAGGGGGAAAAAATCGAAATTGTTTTCTTGGCTTCTCTTTCTCATGTATGACAAGTGCATGCCAGCTGTGAAAAGTGAATTTCTGAAACTATTAGCCATACACTCCTCAGACCCTCCCATTACCCATCAGAAATTCAATCCCRGGATTGTTTGATTTAATGCCATTAGCTTAATTAATAATAACATTTTTAGTTTGTTTCTTGTGATATATATAGGTATAACTTCCATACATTTGGACATGCTGTGAGAGAAATTTACGCAAGTCGTGGAAGCCGAGARGGCAACAATGCTTTCCTACATGTAGGTTTTATTTTACTGCAGTTTTCAATATTCTATGAACTCGTCATAGTTGCGAGCTGCACACTGAAATTTGGTTTTTCGCTATTGTCAATCAAAAATGATCAGTCGGTACCTTTTATGTTCTTGACTGGTGTCAGTAAAAACTCATTTTGCAATAAGTGGTTGAAATGTCTGAGTTTGCAGAATATCAWAAACCACAGTGAATTTAAACTTATGGTTTTCAAATTGAAAATTGATGCATGCTTGTCATCAATTTATTACCAAAATTTACTAAAATTTACAAGTGTTTTTTGGGAATCTCTCTCACAGGATCAAAGGAGTTATCAAGCTCCACATCAGCTTCTCAATAGTTTGTTGGAATTCTGTTTTCAAAATCCTAAAGTTCCACTAGAGATGGTTGAGTATCTGGTKGAAAAGCTGATGAGCAAAAAGAAGTTGAGCTCACATGTAAGTACTTAATAAACC